ATGAAATACAATTCAAAGTAAATTTAGAAATCATTGCTTTCAGTTTTAATGTTCACTTTCCATATCATGCCAACTTTTTCCTAGTTGGGGTGGTACATGTACATGAATTCTTTCAATCCATTTTTCACATACAGTCTGATGCAAAAGTCTGGAATCACTGAGAAATTTGGTATTTTGGAAAGACAATTTTTATTCAAAGAGGTGGAATTACAATGGTCAAATCATAAATAAATAAAGCCACATTTACAATGTCAAAAATTGTTTTTGCTGTTTGAAATGTTTGATGTTATTAATTTTTTTTGCATGATTGCAAACCCCCATTTTAAGATGCCTGTGTATGAGCAATGCAGCGGGCCAGCTCACTGATAAAGGGCTACTCCACCCAAAACATGATTTGGACTCATTCCTCTTAATTTTATTAGTAAATGCAAGTCATCTTTTTATCAGGTAGATGTTTATTATGTCCTTTAAAACGAGTTTCTATATAAAGACAGCTTTCGGTTTTTTTGAAACTTGTTTTCAAGGACATAATAAACACTGACCAGGTAAATAACTCTGTGTTTAAATATGGCTTGTTACGGTATTTGCTTAATTAGAATGTCAGAATCGTCTTTTTAAAGACAAAAGTGATGATGTAGCAACTGGAGTCCATCTGCTTATATAAGAGTTGCTCATGGGCTATCATATCACAACCTGCGGTAACTATAGATAAAAAGAATGGTCCGAATGTATACAGAAAATATTTACTCGATGACCATAAGAACTGTTTGACTTATGGCATTTTTTGAAAAAATTAAGTTTGGTCTAAAGCTGGTGCGACAGAAACATTCGTCAGGTCACCAGGACAATAGGATTGCTCGTTTATGCCCGAAGATGTTGACAGCAAAATTGATCTTATTCCCCTTAGACCATTGGGACTTATTGCATTTGGAAAAGTAGCTTCACTTTATGTCGGCACCACTGTAAAAGTAACAGGGCCATGAAAATTCAAAAGGTTCCTCCTCCATGCACTGGGAATCTTGATATTTGATTTGACAGGATTCCCATCACAGTGTTTATTGCATTTTTAAAAATGAAGTTTGGCCTGGTGGTGGTGGTAAGGTCATCCAGTGACCAACATCAAAAATGACTCTTCGCTACGCACCAGAAATGATCACAAGAAGTGTGACATGATTCCCATCAAAACTGTTTGAGTTATTGCTTTTGGAAATGTTTAGCCAAGTGGTGGAGCTACATGAAATACTAGGGAACCACCACAATCACTAACTTCCTCCTCCTTGTATTAGGAATATTAAAAGCAGATTTGACGCGACGCCCACTAAAGTTGTTCAAGTGAATTAAGTGAAAAGTTTGGCCTGGTGGTGGCACTAAAGCAACACTCTTAGGATGACCGACATCAGCAACAGTCCCTCTCTCTGCAGCAGAAACTATCATACGAAGTGACACATGATCTCCATCGGAGGTTTTTGAGTTATTGTATTTGCATAACCAGAAACAAACGGAAGTTCTTTTGGCAAAAACTATGGGGTTGGATCAGTCTCATAATGAATGAATGCACACAGACGGATTCACAAACGTATTTTGGGATTTATATATGAATGACTCTCCACACAAAAGCATTTTCCAATTCATGCACAAATATTTATTGCTATATATATATAAATGTAAAAAAAATACACATATAAAAATATGTTTCACAAATGTATTTCTGGTGCGCGCACAAGTATTTTTGTTTCAAATACATGCAATAGAGATACACAGATACATGTACTTAAATGTATTAGCAATTTTCATCAAAAAACACTCTTGGATGTTATTACATTTATGAGCAGACTGTTGAACCTGCATTTACAAACTACTTTTCATTAGGGAAGTTCACCACATTTTTGTGTGTAGGTTTTTTGAGACTTCCCAATTCACAAAATTATTATTTTTTTTTTTCGGAAGGGAATGATCTTCATTAAGATTCCCCCTGAGGTGTACTTGTGCACCATCTGGTTTTTAACCTCATCTGCACGATCAAATCGACTACCTTCGTCACGACTGTGAATTAATTAGTTGTAATGCAAGTACTAATGTTTGCAATTGTTATATTCAGCTACAGTGGTATGCAAACTGTGCTAAAAGCGGCAGAAAAAATTGTGTAATACATATATTCTATCAGTAAGTTGATTAAAATGTTCTATAAACCCGGTGAACATGATGCTGTTGCTACTTTTGAAAAGTGGCCCGTGTTCGATGGTAGACGCCAAGATCCCCTCACGGTCCTCTTGCGAAACTATAGCCGCTTTCACACTGGACTTCGCGTCTTTGCATTGACTTTGAGTGTAATCTGTCGTGCGAAAAATTCGTTTCGCGTCCGGTGTGAAAGCAGCTTTCCCAGCAGGCACTTCAACGTTTTTTCACTGTAGAATCAACGTCATGGACTATAGTTGAATCACCGTTGAATTATGTTTTGATTTTGAGAGATGAATCAACGTTGATTTCGCAACGTTTTTTCAACGTTGGGCATGAGTACCATACACAACCCACCACTTTTTTGGGTTTTTTTTTTTTTTTTTTTTGCCAGAACGATTTTAAAAGGAGGCACAAATATTTTTGGGGGGTTTTTATGAGTGAGAAGGGGGTTTAGAATGATGGGGGAAAAATTTTAAAAGGAAGGGATAGATGCGGCGCGAGGAAAAAAAAATTTTGCGGTAATTCTAGCGTCTACCACCGTGCGCTTCCCTCGTGACATTCACTCTGTGTACGATCTCTCCTACTTCTTCTGACTTTTTTTTTGTGTTATCTTTGTTTTACCTCCTCCATCGATGAGACTGTGATCAAAGGTTTACATGTTAAGTTAGACATTACCTAAGTGTTTGCAGCAGGATTCGAACCTAGTTGCCTATGGACAAAGCAACTTCAAACACACTATTCATTGTGATCTTAACCACTACACCAACTGAATTTGTTGTTAACCCCGTGCATCAGTTTCCATTCGTCGCTGAGGGGTGGTTATATATATATACATCGCTGTGTGTGTATATATTCATCACTGTATGTATATTCATTGCCATTCATTGTGTGTGTGTGTGTGTGTGTGTGTGTGTGTGTGTGTATATATATACACACATACACAATGAATGGCGATGAATATACAGCGATATATATATATTATACAACGATGAATATATATATAAAACCACCCTTCAGTGATGAATGGATGTACTGTCTGACAACAAACTCAGTCAGTGTAGTGGTTAAGACCACAGTGTATGGTATGTTTGAAATTGTTTTGTCCACAGGTTCCCAGGTTTGAATCGCGCTGCAGACACTAATGTAATGTCTAACTTAACACGTAAATCTTTGATCACAGCCTCATCGATGGAGGAGGAAAAACAAAGAAAACACATAAACAGAGGGTCAGAAGAAGTTGGAGAGATCGTACACAGAGTGAATGTCACGAGAGAAGAGCATGGTGGTGGAAACTGGAATTACTGCAAATTTTTTTTTCTTCGCGCCGCATCTATCCCTTCCTTTTAAAATTTTTCCCCCATCATTCTAAACCCCCTTCTCACTCATACAAACCCCCCCAAAATATTTGTGCCCCCTTTTAAAATCGTTCTGGCCAAATAAAAAAAAAAAAAAACCAAAAAAAGTGGAGGTTGTGTATGGTACTCATGCCCAACGTTGAAAAAACGTTGCAAAATCAACGTTGATTCATCTTTCAAAATCAAAACATAATTCAACGGTGATTCAACTATGATCCATGACGTTGATTCAACAGTGAAATAACGTTAAAGTGCCTGCTGGGTTAGTACTTGTGAGTTTTATTGCAATATTTCAAAATAAAAGTGACTTCACAATACAGTGAATAATAATCAGAGGAAGCCCGCCCCAGTATGCTTTTCCACGCTCCAAAATTAGGTAATTTTAACAGTTCTTCAGCGACGAAGCAAGTAATTCAGCCAGCTGTGCTCACTGGTGAAACTAACACACGGCGCAACTTTTACTGTCCGACCCCTGGATATAGACCTCTAATATTAAGAATCAGAGAAACACTAAATGATAATAATAATAATAATAATAATGATGATATGTAAAACCCAGCAGTATAGATATTTTATGCTGATGCTGTGAGAAACTATTAATACTTTATGAAAAGAGGAAGCACATTTTTAAAGACCAATTGAAAAACTTTTCCCAACACTATCATTTTGAGTGAAATATTTTACTTCCTCTCCTCCTCACACATCTGATCGTCCGTCTTCCTCCCCCACATGACATTCTGTGAATTTTACTCATTAGCTTTCTTCTATAAGCTCCTCACTTTAACTTTCCTTTCCTAACCCCTCAAAGTCTGACCGTTGTCCTCTGTTCTATTTTGGATCTCTTCATTCTTTTGCTTCTGTGTTAATAGTCTGGTACTCTCCTTCCTTTCCCTCCATTTTGGATCTGTCCAAAGCCTCATAACCTCCTTCAGCCCCTCCCCCTCCCTCTCTCCCTAATGTCTGATAGGCTCCCTCCTTATCCTCCATTTTGGATCTGTCCAGAGCCGCATACCCTCCTTCAGTCTCTTTCCCCTCTGGAGCCTGGTACTCCTCCTCTTTTCCGGACCCTCGCAGGGCCTCATACTCATTCTCATCTGCTTTATCTCCTTTCATTTTTTCCTGCATCATCAGGTTTTCTTTGAGATTCCCCAGGCCCACCTCCTCATACCCGCCATCGTCCTGAAATGCAGCTTCTAAAAAAAAAAGAACAAATTAATTTTCAGTGGAAATAACACACAGTGCCTTAATATCACCCCCGATTTGTCTATTTTTTCTTCACACCAGATGGTTTTGATCTACATACAATACAGATAGATGAATAAATGGTCAATGACTGCATTTATAAAGTAGTCACATGACCCCAAAGCACCCTACAATAATGCCTCTCATTCACCCTGATGGCAAAGGCACTAATCAGGAGCAGCGCGGGGTTCAGTGTCTTGCTCTAAGACACATTGACACATTCTCAGGAGGAGCCTCGGATCAAACCAGGAACCTTCTGATTCCCAGATCACCTGCTCTACCTCCTGAGCCATACCGCCATATACATAAAAGAAGGTGAACCAGGAAATTCAAAATGCAGTTTAAATCAAAACATCGGTCCGGACACTCAGGTCAGATTGAACCATTTATTACAAAACAACATGCATTTGAGTTGGGCGGTGACTCTGCTCAAGTGATGCTCTGGAACAATCTGAGCAAGCCTGACACAGACAGTCCCTGAGATCACAAACCCCCAGCAGAGCCAGAGATACTTCACTTTTAAATTAATGAACACAATATGAACCGATGCTGCTGACACTGAACAGTGTTATTTATGAAGGAGGAGGCTGGGGATTGGGAGAGAGGAGACGCAGATCTGTAGAAGGCCAGAGTGGGAGTGATATAGGGGGCGCAGAGCCAGAGAGATGAATGAACAATGAACGCTGCCTTGGGTATAAAAGCTCACTGATTGGATGGGAAATGCTGAAGTCAGGAATGATTGGAGAGAAAGGCGCTTGTGACTAAATATGACTTCCGCACCTACCTGCAATAACACTAAAGCTCCATTTCACTTATAGAAGGAAAATATCGTCTACTGTCCACCCACATATATCCCCCATGTTAAAAAGTTTCAGGCCCCTGTTAACTTACTCACTAATGCCAACAACTGCTACCAGAGTTTCCGGTAACTGGAGGTTAAGGCATCGCATCACTGTGGAGGGATCTAAACAAGCTTTTCCAAGTATACTGGACAAAGAAAATTAGGGATCACCCCAATTTTCGAATTTGAAATATTTGATAGTTCAAATTATGTTCCATATCATATTTCAATATTAAAAATCAGAGTGATCCCTAACTTTCTTTGTCCAGTATAGTATTGCTTCAATTCAACCTCTTTGCACAGTTTGTTTAAGAGCCACCCAATGAAGGCCCGGCCTCAGCGCCTCAGTGAAATTCAGGTCAGAACTATGACTTGGCCTCGCAGTTCAGTGATGGAGTAGAACTATGGTTCAGTTTGTTGTTTTGCTGCATGACCCATGTTCACTCGGGCCTCAGATTACAGTCTGATGACTGGACCGTCCCCCCCGGGATTTTCTTGTCGAGAGCAGAATTCGTGGTTCAGTCAATTATGATAATTCATGCAGATTCTTGGGCGGTAAAGTATCCCCACACCATTATATTACGACCATCGTGTTTGACCATTGGTATGATGTTCTTGCTGATGAATGCCGTGTTTGCTTTATGCCAGCAATAGGAGGACATTCAGTTCCATTTTCAAAGCATCAGGCTTCTAAACATTGGCCCAAGAGGCTGGTGGCTCATCAAGGTGTTCTTCGGCAAATGTGAGACGAAAGGTCATGTTACTTTGGGTTAGTGCCGTGGTTTTTGCCCTCAAGCTCTACCACCGATATCATTTCATGGTAAAATCATGGACATTGACCTTATCTTAAGTGAACAAGGCCTGCCATTCCTTAGATGGTCATCAGGATTCTTTTGTGACTTTCTGGATGGGTCGCTGTTGCACTCCACGAAAAATTTGGTTAACCTGCTACTCTCAGAGAGGGTCACCACTGTCGTCTCTGTTTGGAGATAATGGATCTCACTATGGTTAGCCAAAATCCCAAGTCTTTATAAATGCCTTAGTAATTCTTCCAAGGCTGATATAATTCAATAACTATCTCATCTCTTCCAGAACCTTTTGAACAGTGTTGTTCACTTTGGTTAAAAAAACATAGAGAAGAGATTAAACTTCTCCTTCCTTTATTTTTTAAATTTGACCGCTATTGGCTTCATTAATGCCAGGCAATGAAAAGAAACCATTAATCCACAGCTGTGACAGTCATTGTAAATTTATGGAGTCATGTTTTGGTCAGAAATACCTCAGGACACACCAGATGAACTGGACCACATCGAAAAGGAGGAATCGATTAAAACAAACAAAAAAAACCAAAAAAAACACACTTACTTGACCGTCTTTTCTTCATAAAGAAGAACACTATGCAGCTCACGCCGATGATGAGGCAGATTGCGATCATCACTGCCACCAATACGCCCACAAATGAGGTCCCCTCCGAAACTCCCACCTGACCTGAGAGAGGAGGAGTGAGAGGGAGAGACTTACAGCTTACATTTTTTACTTCAACTCTCAGCACACTGACACTATAATGACATATTTACATGACACTAATAGTCAGAAACGAAACAAAAATCGTCCTGACAATAATAGTAAAAATACGGAGCCCGGGAAGTGCAATGACACTAAAAAAATATAAGACGTGGCCACGAGATATATGCGTTCCCTCGATTTAGCTATCTCTTTCCCACAACTTAGTTATTTTGTGGCCACGTGATTCAAGTTGTTCCCACGATTTAGGTATTTCGTGGCCACAAGATACAAGTCGTTCCCACAATTTAGCAATTTCATGGCCGCGAGATACAAGTCGTTCCCATGGGCTCCGTATAAAAATAACCAAGATCAGAGTAAACATCACATATAAGTCACAATAAGGCCACTTATTCCTTTCCCTTTGCGAAGTGCCCAGGCAGCGTTATCGATTTGGGTTTTGTCCTGATATTTGTGTGCCTGAGCCTCACGGGTAAATTTTCTCATCATCAGTGTTTCACTGCTAAGTGAGCACAACTATCAACCAAAGTTTCTGTCATCAAACACCTAAGCACTGGAATAAGTGAATTCTAGTTGTTTTGCTAAAAGGAATTTGCCGTGGATCCCTTTTTATAGCAAAAATATTAATTCTTGCTGGTCAGACAGTGTATTTCTCCATACAAAGGCTACGTTTGCCAGAAACAATGTTGGTATTTCAAAACAATTATGCTAGCCTCCATGTTGTGAACCTGGCCTCTTCAGTTGCCGTGGTTACTAGCCTGCATATTCAGGACAGCCTCCTCTGAGGGGAGGGGCTTTGGAGGCAGAGCTGAAGTGCAGTGGAGAGGGAGGGGGAGGGACCAGGAGGTTGTACATTTTTCAGATTCTCAAGCGAAGTCCACTTTCTTCTCAATCTTACTAACTGTATCTTTAAAGCTTTGTATTTAAAAAAAAAAAAGGCAAGGTAACCCCACCGATCACCTGACATTTTGGGCCCCATAAAAGAATGCTACTGAGCTCCACCACCCTAAAAACCTTAATACAATGTCTGATAAAATCATGAATATTTTCTGCACGTGCAGCTTACTCAATTTACTCTATTTTCCCGCCTAAATCAAGATAGTGAATAATTTTCCAGGGCTTTTTACTTACATGGCCCCATAGGTTAGCACATGTAGCTGTACGTCAGTGTGCACCGAAAAAATTAAGTGACTTACTGAAATGGTCACTCATCTCCGAGACGCCATCATTCCACGTTGCCCTACATCGGTATGATCTCTCTTCGCTGAGAGGTACATAGATGTCTTTCTGATTTTCGATTTTCATAAGTATTTGCTCCTCGTATATATACCATCGGTAGCTGTGGTTCTCCGGGCACTTTGGGCAGGAGCACGTCAAACTGGATCCAGTTTTTATGTAGACTGCTGCTGGAGGTTGAGCTACAGAACAGAGAGAACCTTAACTTCATACTTTCTATCTGACATGTACATTACTCTGTGCACATCAAAGCAAGCACGCGCGTGAATGAACACAAACTGACATTGACTGTGAGTCACACAGGTTATCTTACCTTTGACTCGAAGTTCCTGAGTATCAGAAGTTACCGTTTTCGGGATTTTGCTTGTATTTTCCTTGAACATGTATGTAGCGGTGCATTTATAATTTCCCAGGTCCTCAACCGATACATTTTCAATGATGAAAGCGGAGTTCTTTGTATTTTGTTTTTCCATGCCATTTTTATAGAAAATAGCCTTACTTATAATGGGGTTTCCCAACACACTGCACTGTAAAATCAACTTTTGTCCCAGAACTGCAGGCTCAGGAGGGGTCTCCAGCATTACCATGCGATCTGAGAGAGGGAGCGAGGGAGAAGAGAAATGGAGAGACTGTAAAACTCACTGAGAAGCCTCGGCCTTTGTGTACACACATACTCCAGATATCACCGGCACAGCATGTACCTGTGGTCTTGATAGTGATTGGGTTGCTCCTTTTCAGTTCGGTCTTATGCTCACACCAGTATATGGCAGGGCTTTCGTGATCCTGCAGGGTCTTTGCATGAAAGTGCACACTGGTTGCATTAGAAGTCATCAGGCTAGGAATAATTACAATCTTCTTTGTTGTCCCGCCCTTATACACGTGACAGAACCAGTCTTGCAGTCCTGTGTCAACTTTGAGCTCGAAAACAACGGAGTCCCCCCTGTTGATCACTGGCATACCGGACTTTATGGAGAGAGAGGCGAAGGGTAGGTATTCTGGCGAAGGTAAACAGCAGAAGAAGAGAAATTGAGATGGATGGAGAGAGATGTAGAGAATGAGAGACCATAGAGATGGCAAATGGGACCTTGTAAACTGTCATGAATGATTTACCAAGTGAATTTAAAATAAGATGGGAACATGTGATTCCTTTATTATGTGATTATTAAATGACAGCATGAAATCAAGGTATTGAGCAGGTATGCACAACAAGAGAGCTGTGTGAAATTAGCTAAGTAAAATTGTATTCGTCGTTATATTACCCAAAACTGTGATTTTTACAGTTTCGCTTTTCTCGCCATTTCTTTCACACCTATATAAGCCAGAGTCATTTTTGGAGATTATATTAATGGTCCAAGCTTCACTGGTTTGGTCCTGCACGAGTTTGTCTTTGAAGAACCATTTCAGCGGTCCTGATCCTGAGCACTTCAGCACAAGTGTATCTCCAGAATACACCTGCTGAAAATCTGGATATTTTTTCACTGAAGAAAAAAAGTGATAATGTCAAAATACTATCATAGCCCTGGAAGACATGATTGCATAACACAAAACATGAGAGCCAGACTGTCTGAAGGATTTTGCATTCATAAAGGACAATTAATAATATCATCAGAGCAATGGTGAGCATTGACAGGGCCTGGATATTTAACATGCGATGGATGTATCTGAGACAAGGAGATTTTGTTTACACTAAAACCAAAA